AACTTGGTAAGGGGAGCTGTTCTGCACTTTACTTCTTGTGCAGTCAGGAAAGGCATAAAATGCATTACTTGAGCCAGGTGTAAATGAAAAGCCATATATATGTGAAGATAGAAGAGGGTGAGTATGCAGAAATTAGAAGGGCGTCTAAATATGGGAAAGCTCTAAATATGGCATGAAGCTGTCCAGGGGAGGTTTAGGTTGGATATCAGGAAAAGGTTCTTCACCCAGAGGGCGGTCAGGCACTGGAACTGGCTCCCTAGGGAATTGGTCACAGCACCAAGCCCAGCAGAGTTTAAGTGTTTACACAATGCTCTTGGGCAAATGATTCTTGGGGTGGTCCTTTGTAGGGCCAGCAGTTGGACTTGATGATCCTTGTGGGTCTCTTTCCACTCCACATATTCTGTGTGTCTGTGATGCCCTCAAGGAGGAATGCAGCACATAATGCCTTCCAATAATAAGAGATTGTCTACTGCTCCCTTACACCTCTATGGAGCTTGCCTGTATAGGGTAATATAGATTTGCATTTATATTTTGATTCTTAATGCTGCTGCTTTTGGTTCTTACTGGTAGTTAAACTTGTATACAAAATTGCTGTCATGTTTGAAAATACATAAGTATTGGGATTGCATACTTTGTTCTGATTTACTGTATTTTAATTGTGCTGTTTATTGAGCATTTAGATAGCAGGGAAGACATGGATGATGGGAAGGTTATTCCCATCATCATGCAACTTCATATTTGTTTAATGTGCCTGTTCAATATACACCTGGATTTCTTTCAGCCAACGTACTCTAGCTCCATAGAGTGTGATGCACTTCCCCTTCAGAGCATTCCTCCAGATACATCAAAATTCAAGTCTATTCCCCAGTGTAATATCCTCTCATCAGGTGAGATACTCTTGACTTTGTGTAAATTTAAGTTGCCATTGCAGCTTTACATTCACACTGTGACATTGCATTTGTGTAGTAGAAAATTTGGTTTCTTTATGTCAGGAACAAAAGTCTTCGTGAACCTCGTTCTCTGGGTAAAAAACTAGCCTTTTTAAGCTCTGATTTTCTGTTCCTATCACCTGAGGAGTCTTTGCAGCTCACAGGTTCAGTTTTCCTCTTCAGAGTTGTGAGTGCAGAGCTAACATTTTCTTGTCCCTTCAGACTCTTGTCAGTTTAGTTAACTGGATTTGTTTGGTTGGTTGGTTTTGGTTTTGTTTGGTTTTTTTGTTGTTTTTGTTTGTTTGTTTGTTTTTGTTTGTTTGTTTGTTTGGGGTTTTTTTTGGGTTTTTTGTTTGTTTTTTTTTTTAACTACTTCTGAATATTAAAAAGGCTACATATTTTAAGACATTCTAGAAGCTGAGTAAACGCAAAATTTCCAGTGCAAGTTTCTAGATAATTTTTAATTCAGTAAGTAAAAGTTTTTAATAGACTGCTTTGCAAAAGTATCTGCACAGACCTTTTGTAGATGTCCCCTTTTATGAAAAGTTCCCTGAGAAAACTCAATTTTGAAGTTTTGTTGACATCAGAAGCCAGAAACATACAAAGGAACCCAGGTGGAATAGCAACACATTATGAAACTAAAACTGCATTTAAGTTTCTTCCCTTGATGGAATGTAAACATATGTCAAAAGAATACAGTGTTCTCTGGCATTGCAGGGACCAGGAGTATGAAAGCAGATGAGACTATTGACTTCACTGCTAAAAAAAATGACATCAAAAAGTATTCTGAGGTGCTACAAAACCAGAGATATTCTGATAGGAGAGCAAAGGCAGTTCCTGTTTCAGCTCCTGTTTGAAGGCATACACATTTTTGAACTTCTACTCGGTGTACTAGAAAGGTATAAATACAGGAAGAACTTGGGTAAATAAATTACTGGAGGCTTAAGGACTTCCAGTTACTGGGAGAAAATGGCAGAAAGCAAGTGCAGGGTACTTCAGCTGTACCTCAACTGAAGTATTTACCTATGCAGCATAAAAGCCTCAAACATGAAGAATAACTCATATTTACCTAGCTTAATAAGTGTGTTGTGATGAATTTTAGAACATGGAGTATTAGTTTGAGCATGAGCATGGACTCTAAGGGTAATCACATAAGATAACAAGAAATATCAGCCTTTCTTGCTGCTGGTTTCTGTGGTTTCTGTGGTGAATTGTGTCTGCCTGTGGAGGGAATCAATGAAAATTTATTGGTACAATTAATCTTATTGGTCAGCTGGTGGTTGTTTTATAGAGTAATTGCTCAGATTTTATTGTGTTTATATATAGATACTGTACAGCTTGTGAAAATAGTGCCTACAAAACTCTACTGCAGAAGAGTTTGTTATTACTTCGCCAATAGCTGAATCCATTAGTGTTGTAGTGGGAAGCAAGGCTGACATTAATCTTGCTTTTCAAACTCATATGCAATTGTTTCAGGTGAAAATTCTATTCCAGGTAGCTGTTAGCAACAGAGCAGTTTGGCATAGCACAAAAGCAGAAGTAAATGGCTACAGAGTCTAGCTGAGTTAATGACTATAGATTCCTGGTTTTTCTATCAGTACAATCAGAATACTTCTTCAGAAAATTGCTTCTTCAGAGTTTATACTTGTCTTCTAGCTTTAGCCTTTCTTTTCATCTTTACTTTTTTTTTTTCCCGTCCCTCATGAGCTTTTTTTGGGTATTTCATTAAGCAGCTCTTTTCCCTCTTCCCATTTCATTTCTGATACAGAGAGTAATCCTTTAATATACTTTGTTTTGCTAGATGAACAGGATGCACTCTTTTGAAATCCCATTGTAAAATAAACTTCTTTATTCTCATAGTATCCTAACTAGTCCTCCTGGTGCATGTTCTAACTTAAGTCAGTGATATAAGTATTATGAGAGATGAGAAACTTTTTTTGTCTACAAAAGCCCCCTTACTTACTGTACCTTAGAATTTTATTTTTCCTTTCTCACAAGTTCCTTCATTACAGAATAATCTACTTAGGAGTTGTTTTTATTCATCATCTCATTTCTAATCATTAGCCCCAGCTTGAAACAGAAAGTCTAGATCTCATGTTTTTCCTACTTTTTCTATTTCTGTTACTCCATTCTTCTAGGTCACCCAGGTTCTTTTTTAGTAACTTGAGTCAATCTGTTTCTTTCTGAATAACATCTGAATAACTCTCAGTAGCATTTTTTTGAGGGAACTGGGGTTGTTTAGCCTGGAGAAAAGGTGGCTCAGAGAGGAAATTTTGCTCTTTTGCTCTCTGCAACTACCTGAGAGGAGGCTATGGCCTGGTGGGGGCCTCTTAACTGACAAGCAATAGCAGCAAGCAGTAGGATAAGAGGAAATGACCCTGAGTTGTGCCAGGGGAGGTTTGGATTGGATGTTAGAAAAAATTTCTTAATGGAAAAAGTTGCCAGGCATTGGAACAGGCTGCCCAGGGAAGTGGTTGAGTCACCAGCCCTGGAGGTATTTAAAGGATGTGTAGGCGTGGCATTCAGGACATGGGGCAGTGGTGGACTTGGCAGTGCTGGACTCAGTGATCTCAAGGGTCTTTCCAACAGAAACAATTGTGTGATTTTATGATTGCATTTTCTTATGTTGTGTTCACTGGTCCAGGTATTCTCTCCTACTAATTTGTTTTATATTATGTACTGGTATTCTCTCATACCAGTACAATCCCAGTAGTCTTGTCTTTATGTTATGAAATTAAATTTGTGTGCCTAAAAATGTATAACAATCTATCCCAGCACAGCTGCTTAGAATACTTCCCTGCAATGATCTTTCACTCACAGTGGTTGTCTCCTATTCCCCTTTTTCATGCAGTAGATAATATCTGCTGCTTTACAGTACATAGCTCTGCCCAACTTTCTCCCTTGATCATAAAATAAAATACTAGTTACTATGAGTTCTAGTCCACCATTTTAAAATACTGAGAATGGAGTTTCTTCCACATTTTCCTATTCCTGCTCTGTGTACTTACAGACATATTCTTCTACAGGTCAAGAAAGAGCTGGGAATACAACTTCAGATTTCCCCATTGGACAGGTAATCTCAAGTTGTCCATGGGGCTACCTTGTTGTGTCTTGAGATGCTCATCTGAATTCTTGCATCTCTGGTTCTTAGTTACCATCTTAGTTATTGTGTCTTTATCAAGTGACACTGTGAAAGTCTAATCAAAGCTATTTGCAGAGTTAGGGACAGGTCCTGTAGTTTTTTTCTCACCAGCTGTTTGATATCTCTTCCTTGTGTTATTCCTACTGCTGCTTTCATATCTGTCACCATTTCTACTATAAAAAAATTCTAAAGCTAGAAACTGTTAAACTTCCCCCCGATAGAAATCCTTTCTACTTTTATTTGCAAAAGTTTACTTGTAGCTTTCCTGAAGTCATATCCTGTTTTGATGGACTACAAAAAGCTTCTATTGGCTTCCCTCTGAATGTTAACTTCTCCCACTGTTCTTCATGTCCTTTTCCCCCATCTGAATCTTTATATTTTCATCTTTGATACACTGCCAATCTTCATCAAAATAAATTAGTCTGCTTTCCTGCTGACTTTTAGTTACCTCTCCAGATACTCAAAGGATTTATTTTATTCTTCTAGTCCCTACAAATATTTTCCCTCAAACAGAGTTTTTTCATTGAAGTTCACATCTACCAGATTTATACTCCCAATATTTCTTTAAAATAAAGCAGGACCCCAAACCATAGTCAGGCCCTGGTAAAATATGAGGGGCATAAATGTACTCGGAATTTGAGTACACGGACTAATTTGTTGTATATCATGTAAAAGTAGTTGGTTTATGACTTCTTTTGTGAAATTGCTCTAAATAGTCTCCAATGGGTGTATTTTATTTGTCTGCAGAAGTAATACAGCTTGTTCTTTTTCTTTTTTGTCTCCTTTTTTTTTGTCTAAGATGGAAATTCTGGGTGTCTACACTCTCTTAGCAGCCAGAGTGTGGATGAAAATCTGTCTGTAACTCAAAGTGCCAAACTCCTTGTGCATCCATACAGTGCTGGTCTCTCATCTGCCAGGAGTATTTCAGATGCCTCAAGTTCTGCATCCCGTGTGCTGCAGTCATCGCTGATTCCTTCAGGTACAGCAATTTGAGTCCAAGACCCACAATAAGTGTTTTAACATTGAATGTATGTCTGTATGAAATGGAAACTGGAACTGTTATTCACCTGCAAAATGAAAACAAAATATCTGCAAATTAAGAATGCAAAATTAAGCAATTCTTCTGTCCTTGTAGACTTACATTACAAAATAAGCAAAAATGTGTAAAATGTGGCCAAGTACAGGTATCTGTAGCTACTAGCTTTTTTTCTCTCCTCCTAGTCAGATTCCTGCTGCCATGGGTCTTCTTTATCCCATTCCCTTTGCTCATAGTATTTCTACTATTTCCTACTGCTGTAGCAGTGCTACAGTCCAGCAGAACAGGAGGAAAACTTAGCTCAAACTTAGTCACCTTGCTGCCTGTCACTTCTCACTTTTTAGGCTTTCCCGTCTTCCATTTACTAATGGTGGGGCTAAGAGAAGCAGCAACTGTGTCAGTATCTCACCTGTAATGATCCTCTGTGTTAGTTGGGAGCCCACTACATTATATTCTTGTGCATCAAATAGCTGTTAAAAGTTAACACAAAAGTTAACAAAAAGAAACTTTAATGATTAATTATTCAGATACATTTTTTGAGGGGCATCACAATAACATGCAACTTTATAAAAATCTGTTGCTTCAACCCTCTTCTGGAAATACAAGAATCAACACCCTTTCACTGTGTGAAACCTCACCTTGAGAAAAATACCAGGAAACTACAGGGATGTTTTCAGTAATCTTCAATAAAAATCCCCCTGGAAAGTGAATTTACCACCTGTTTCTTTTTAGTACCAGGTCGGGTTGAACACTGGAACAGGTTGCCCATGGAGGCTGCAGAAGTACCATCACTTGGAGATGCTCAAAATTCAGCTGGACAAGGTCCTGAGCAACCTGAGTTATCCTTGAAATTGGCCCAGCTTTGAGCAGGCCATTACATCAGATCACCTCCTTGAGGGTCCCTTCTAACCTAAATTATTCTGTGATTCAGATAGAATAAATGCTCTAGCCACTAAATTTGTCAAATTGGAACATTTTAATAGGTTTTTTCCTGCTTGTTCTTTGTTCTGTGGCAATATTTGTTGACAGTTACAATCCCTTCCTTTTTTCTAATCCTTTCCAATCTCAGATTTTATATTGGAAACCGTACAAAAGGATGTAGCTCATCAGTGGATCCAATGTAAAAGAGAAGAAATTATTGATCAGATGACTGAAGCATGTTTGAATCAATCACTGGATGCTCTTCTATCAAGATTTTTACTCATGAAAGAAGATTATGAACTTATAAGCACCAAACCTACAAGGACATCAAAAGTACGACAATTGCTTGATACTTCAGACAGCCAAGGAGAGGAATTTGCCAGAATTATAGTACAGAAGTTGAAAGATAACAAACAGCTAGGACTTCAGCCTTATCCAGATATTGTATCTAATTCTCAAAGACTGCATCTTTAAATTTATTCTTTCTTTATGAAACCATGTGAATATTTCTTACAACATGATTCTTGTTTCTCTATAGTGTTTTATTTATGTGCAGCTTTTTTCTTTACTGTGCCTTTGTAGAATATCAGAAATGAACCTGAGTTCTTCTAGCCTGCATTTGGTCAGTGACCAATTAATAATTTCGAGTGCAGTCATAAAGCCAAACAATTGATGGTTGCTGACTCATTTTGTAAAAGTATTTTGTTTATACATGACAAAGATAAACATTAAAAGTTCACCATTTTACATATTTGCTGTTTATACACATCCTTTCCTTTCATCTCACGGGACTGAGACAGCTAATCTTAATCTTAACATGGCATGTTTGCTTTTCTCGTTCCATCTGCTCTTTCTCACAGAGGAGGGAAAAAAAATCTAGGTGCTCTTTTCCAGGGCTATTCTGCTGTGTGTATATTAAACTTTCTTCCTTAAACCATGCTGGTGTGCACACAGGAGAGGAGTAGCAGGTGGGAAGAAGATTGTATTTCATTTTTGCAGGATTTTTTATTGGTTTGGTTTGGTTTGGTTTTTTTTCCCATTTTGTTGCCAGAGCAAGTGCCTCAGACCACAGCATAAGAAGAATTTTAGTCCAAAAAGAGCCCAAGTGGAAGGAGGACGTTGTGTTTGTCATCTTTGTTCTGCTCAGAAGTGATACAGGAGAAAGGCTATAGCTATAACATGTTACATTGTGTGGTTATAACCACTTGAGCTATTCCTGAAATCATAGTAGGATGAGATCCAGGAAGAACTTACATAAGGGCATCCTCACTTAATACCTCTTTAACATTCCCTTGGTCATCTGCCTTGCCTTTGTCACTTGCCATCCTACCACCCCTCACCTTTGTCATCTGCCATAAATACTTCTCATGTCATGTTGCTAGATCAAACTTCTAACTCAAATTTATTTTATTTATTTACATAATGAACTACATAAGTAGTTGGGTCTGTACAAAGATCAATCATGTCCTGCCTTGCCACGCTGGATGTGCAGGGGTCTCTTCTGCTGTCACCTGCCTTAACCTTCTCCAGATCACATCTCTGCTCTCCTTTTTGTCTGAAGGATGGTGACATGTTGAGGCACAAGTGGGGCCACCTGAGAGGAAAAGGTATGTGGTGTTTTCTTCAGTTCATTTCACAAGACCTTTGTGACTTTATCTAGATGACTTCAAAACTAGTAAAAAAATTATTTGTCCTAATTTGTCAGAACACAGCACAGGCAGATTGTTTTTGCAAGCACTAATAAATAACAATTTCTGCTCAGGCTATCTAAAATTTGGGAAAATCCAAACTCCACATACAAGAATGGTGAAATATATTACCATATAAAAAGAGCAGATAAATGAAAAATCTTAAGTGATGGCTGTTTCAAAACCTATGCAGATGTGAGATCTGCCCCATTTCAATTATTCAAGTTTCAGTGTCGTTACTGGTTGCCAACAGCTTACTTTTTTCAATATCTTTATGATCTTGTGAACTGAATCACAAGAATACAATGTATAGTTTATTGGATAAGAGAGGTTTAAAATTGTTTTTAATAAAGAAAGTTTTTTACATAAACTGGGTACCCGCCTTTTATCCTGCTTCCCTCTGGAAGCTGTAAGATTAAAGTTAGATAGCTGAAACCAGGACTATAGTGCAATGAATGGCTGTGCTTTTCCTAGAGGAGACCTAATGATGTCGAGCAGGGAGAGGTCTGAGGAAAGCTGGTGCCAAAACTGTTTCACTGAACATTTTAAGCCACATTGTTCATTATTATTGGTGCTTAAAATAAGATTTGTGTCTTGCAAGGTGGCAAAGTAACATTTCTTCAATGTGTGTCCAAAATTCTTCATGTATTAGGAAGTTTCCTGAGGACCCACTGTAAGGCAGCTACGTGAGGGGAAAAAAGCATCCTGCAGCTTTCAAAGTGTCCCTGCTGACTCCTGCCTGTCAGTACAGAACTAGCTTGATTTGCCTTAATTACAGTGATAAATGTGACCCTATGGAGTCACGTTCAGGAATGGTGCTGTCACACTGCTGTAATCAGTATGGGCTGCTCCTCTTTGTGTGCCATCACCCTGAGGTGGCACAGCTGCAGAAAAAGTAATTTTCTAGCCCAACTCTGAATATACCCACATGTGTAAGGTGATGAGCATTCCAGCCAAAGCCCTCCAAGGAAACCCTGAGAATATTCAGTATAAAAACTCAGGCCAATCTCCCTCCTCTTTCCTTGGACCCTGAGCCTCTCTCCATGATGGAGTACAATCATGGAGTAGTTCAGGTTAGAAGGGACTGCTAGTGGTCGGCTTGTCCTGCCCTTCTGCCACGGTCAGGGACATCTTCAACTGGATCTGGTTCCTTAGAGCCCTGGCCAGTGTGACCTTGAACGTTTCCAGGGCATCAGACACCACCACTCTGGGCAATATCAACCAGCCCTCTCCATCGTGTTGGGCACACACAAATTTCCTTGAGTGAAAGGGAGGGGAAGGCAGCCACAGTTGGGTCTTGAGCGATACAGTCAAGGACATAAGGAGAATGATTTGGGGTCAGTATGGGGGAAGAGAAGCGGAGGTTGTGTGCTTGGCCATGCAGAGTGAAGGGTTTATGGAGGTGACAGACCTGAGGGTCAGTATAAGCCACAATCTGACACTTCTGTTGTTTTACAGTTGTTTTAACAGTATTTGTACGTTCCTCATTTCTTCATTGCAATTCCTAACAGATTTTCCTGTTTTTTCACTCCAAGGGGAAAAGCTGCTGATGTTTCAGACTGACAGTAAAAGCTTTTCTCTGAGTAGTAACAGCTCACTGAAAGCCTTTCAAAATGTGCATGTTGAAATGTCTCTTTGTACTTACACTGGGGAAAATAGAAACATAAGAGTGCACATATTATTTAGTGTTTTTTGGCATTAGATTTTGTATGGTATTTTAGCACCTTGTCACTTAGTAGTGACTGCTCCTTGTGTTCTGCTCCCATACCTGAAGTTAACATGGTTGGAAGAAGTTTGTTGGTCTGTGAGCTACGTTCTCTCCTGCATTGACTTCATGGCAAAGTAAGTAAAGATCTGATTTTTACCTAGACGACACAAATGGTGGCCTTTGTCATTCAGAGTCTTGCAGCTAATGGTAGAGGGTGTTTGGCAGTGTGTTTTCAATCAGGGTTCAGTGTAAGTGCATCTGTTGTGGATGAGGATTGCAGGGCCTGTGCTGGCTGAGGCACAGAGGGCAGCGTTATGGAACAGGAGGAAGCAGAGGACTTGGCAGGGGCACCACTGAGCTGTTTGCTGCAGCTGAGCAATGGTATGAATGAAGAGAGCTCTGGAAATAACTGAAGTAGCCTTGTTTCCAGTGCAGAGTATGAAAAGTTTTCCTGAGCAGTAATGGAAGTGTGGGCAAGAAACCAGAAAATGCCACAGGTTTATTCAGGCAAGCATGCCTTACTTTGCTGTTCAGTCAGAAATGTGTGTTTATATGTAACTTAAGACATACAGAAGAATTACTGTGAACAGTAAGTTGGTACAGGAGAAGCTTCACTGCAAACATTTTTATCAAATCCTGAAAAACTGTAAAACTGAGTAAGAAAAACTTGTTACAAATGCATTCATATTTACTTTTTTTACATTATCCATCTTGCTAACTTAAAATGCAAGATTAAATGTAATCTTCCTTGGCAAAGGAACTAGATTTGGTGTTTACAGAATAATTGTTCAGGAAAAATCCTTTTTGTGCACAGTGCATGCTTTATGATTGCTCAATGTTGATTTATGTGCTGTTCCTGCAAATTTATGGCAAATGTCCAGTAGTGTGTAAACATGAGGGTCAGACCAATAGAAATATGGGAGACATTCATGAAGAAAAGACTCGGTGTCATGTTCCAACATGCAGCTTCTACAGACTTGAAACAAAGGGCTGAAGCTGGCTCAGGAGCAGGATAAATGGACAATATAAAGGTGGTCTAATAGCAAAGTCCCTCAGTATAAAACACAATCAGAAAACCAGTTTGGTGCTCCAGATCAGAAACAGGACAAACTCAAGTTCAAATTTCAGAGTGAAAGTAATTACGCATTATTGAAAATATACATTCTGGGCTTTAGGCTATAGTTTGTGAATATTGCCCTGGCAGAATAAAAAGACTTTAAGATGACAGAGGCCCTGAGTAAAGAACATGGTGCTCAGCCTCTGTTTGTCCAACAAGGAACAACATCCCTGCAAAACGATCCTGTTGCTAAAAAGCTTCTTGCTACATTATAATGTACGTAACCACACACTTGCAGGCAGCTGGAATTGTGCAATCTTTTCTGGCAGGGAGACTTAGAGAACTCTCATCCTTCATAGATAAAACAGCTTGAAAGCTGTTTATTCAAAGAATTTGTCCTAAACCTGCTTTGAATAGGGTTTTTAAAAAGCACAGCCATTTCTGTGTGAACATTAAACGTATAGCTGTCTCAGTCTATCACAAAAAGCATGTTTATACAAGATGTTACTTTGAAATGAAGAAGCAGGAAGAGCACTGGCTTATAAAAGAAAGATTTGTGTTGTTTTTATTATTCCTTTTGGTCACCGTGGGTTACAGAATGGAACGTGCAACACGATTCTATGCTCCTGCTTCTTTTCTAGTTGGGCTGCTCAGGTGTATTGGAGGGATACCTGTACTTGGATTCAAATATTTTACTTTCCTGTGTGGATTAGTGGTCCAGTCTGATGAACTGCTCTTATCTGGTGTCTCAGCTCTAGTGACAAGACTCTTGACCTGCTGGATCAGCTCCTTCTAGATGCCCTTTGACACGTGAGTACATCATTCTTCATGGAAAACAAAAATCCCAGGTTAGTGTTCTTGCATTCATTAACTTTTCTCTCTGCCAAGAAGATTTTATTTTCTGGATGTTTACTTGTTTCAGTAGATATTATGCTGTATACCATACTGGCTGTGCTACAGGACATCACAGGACAACCTATTACTTCAGAAGACTGAGTACACTGGGTAAATAATTTCTTTCTTTGCTTATTTTTATCCTAGGGTTTTTTGGGTTTTTTTTAAAGCTTATTTAATTAAAGTAAGATTTTAACACCAGATCAGCCTGTTTTGTGTCTCATACATCATGTCATAAATTATTATGAAAGACACAGATCTGTAATTCTGAAAATAAGAAAAATAATTGGGTTGATTAATATCTAACAATGCATATATTAAACTTAGAAGAAAATTTGGAAAAAAAAAAACCAAACAGAAGAACATTTGAAATTAAATAATACCTTTGAATTTCATTTAACCACAACTCTTTGCTAGTCTAGCCCTCTGAAAGACTTTCTGACTTAGCAAGTTATACCACCAGAATAAGTAGTGTTAGTTTGAGTAGTGTTAGTAAAAATTCCATTGTGGCTTTCTAAATCAGCAAGAAGGAATTAGACTGCATTAGTTATTCATGGTTTCAGTGACATATGGATGAAGGATTTCCCCCCCCCCCCCCCCCCCCCAAGTTTCCTTTTGTTTTACTTCTATCACAACTTTCTTAGGAATAGAGAGCAGCAGTTGCTGCCTTCTGCCTGCTTATGACCTCAGCTGAGGCTGTTTGGAGAAACCAAATTCCAGGAGAGTCTGAGATCTTTCTTGAAAGCTCTTATTGATTTCAATATTCATGCTACTGTAATAAAAATAGCAGGTAAGGCAAGGCTAGACAGAGAGTGAGAGAAGAGGCTATTCATATGGGTGTTAACTTACCCATCCTGGTAAAACACAAGTGTTTATTTAGAGCGGTAGCCTGCGACACTGTTCTATTCCAGCAGCCTTTCTGCTAAAGGAAGCAAGCATATCACCTACTCTCTGGTAAGCTGCTAGCTTTTATTTTTAATCCTCTCCTTAGATTTGGGCTACAGTAGCTTTTCTCTCAAATCTCCTCTGGGATTTGCTTTGGGGTGGGAGTGTAGTGCTGGGGGCGGAGCAAGTCCCTCCTGTGGGAAAGGCAGTCTAGGACCACAGCAATGCATTTGGAGCATGTGAAGCAATAATTCATTAAATGTTTTTATAAACACAGAATTTGAAAACCAAAAGGAAATATGCTTGTTTCCTATTGAGTGAGAAATGTTTGCTTCAGATGAGATCAAAGTGGATTTTTTGTTGCTGTTGATTTTTTAGTATTATCATTTCTGAGAGTATTTTATTTTATGCTGTTTCCTCATACTGCATAATCTTGTTTTGTTTGCTTTACTCATTGGGAAATGTCCAACAGTACAATCTGCTATGAATACTCCCTTTGAGACCTGTTGATGCTCGTACTCATTAGTAGTGTTTTGAAATTTGAACTTCACGTTTTTGGTCATGTTGAAAACTGCTTGCTCATCTGATTTCATGTTCCAATAGCTATTAAAATAAATGTATATGTTTGGGTTTTTTTAAGTTTTGGTCAGTCTTCTACAGGCAGGAGAAAATTGCCCAGAATGTACTTGGAGAAAATAAGAGATTGCTCTTGACTTTTTAGAATGGCTTTCTACATGCACATTGATTTATAATGTGCACATAATTAAAATGTCCTAGATTTTAATTTTAAATGTTATTCTTAATCTTACTAATTTTCTGACTGACACTGGAAAATATTGGGAGTTTATCAGTTTTCTTAGCTGGTTTGACTTTGCCTGGTTCATTGGTGACACTTTCATTATTGAGAATTTTGTACAGGTAGAAAAATTCACCAAAAGAAAAGACCATGAAATGAGGTGTAAATCTGATGGCCAGCATGTTCCAATAATTTTCATAGGAGCTGACTTTCTAAATGCCCTCAGCTTCCAAGGGAATCTGCCAAAGGCAGCAATAATTTATCTCTGAGACCTTATTGATTTACTAATATTTCTTGAATTAAAAGATGAGAATTGCTAAATGCTCTAAAAAATAGAGGCATCTCAGTGCCTCTGGAAGCTGTTTGTAAGACTTCACAAGTCTGTAAGTTCCTATGGAAGTACATAAGCACTTCCCCGACCAAGCCTTCCTGAATCATTTCGCAGAGGTGAATTACTTCCTTAAGAAGGAAGCAATCACTCATTAAATGTAGACCCCTGAAGAAGGGGAAGTGTCTGAGAAAATCCTGTCCTACCAAACCAACCCTACAGTAATTTATGGAAGAACTGTCTTTGATTTCAGCTCTAGTTTACAACTACTTGTCCTTTCTTCCTTCACTTTTGTGTATGACTTTTGGAAGTGGCTTAAGAAACAAGCTTTTGAGAGTTACCTGCATGTGATGTTATTGTCTTCTTTAACTTCTCAGGTGCTGGTCTCCAAGGTCCTTTCTGTTGCTCTTTGCTTATACAGCTGTGAGATAAACAAAGGATTTAGGGCCATTATGGCTGTCTGGGCTCTCAAGGCATTGTGCTTTCCCTGAGAGTAAAATTTACCACCATTTATTGGGAGAGAGCCTAAGAAAAAGGAAGACCTGAATGAAAATAGGGTTCTGAAGTTGTGTAGCGGAGCTGACTTGCTGACACAAGGCAGAGGCAAGTGCTGGTAGCTGTGTCATTCAGCCTGCTGTGGCCTCTGAGGCACACTGATTCCAGAAACCAATAGCTCCTTCTGCTTGTCCCACTCCGTGGGACCAAGACAGCAAGGATCTTCCTTAGCATCAGGAAGCTTTTATGCTTTGTCTTCAGACTTCATACTCAAGAGTTACTAAAATACCTGTGCTGGTAATTTTACTGCCATAAAGTTTTATCATCACAACACCCAATCATGTTAAAGCAGAATGCAAAGAACCTCAGCTTTTTAATTACTGCATGAATTAAAACTTTCTGGTTCCAGGAAGCCCCTCTGAATGCTAGAAAATTCTTTGTAAATATTTTTCATCATTATAATACAGGATTTTACACCTTGAGATGGCCACTTCTGTAAGAAATCACCTTATTACAGCTCTGATTATTGTCCCCAGTAAGCTCTCTCAGTTAGTAGCTTTTGCTGTCTCTCACTTGGATTATGTGCACCCTCAAAATGTGACCTAAATGTCCAAAATATGGAGAAGAGCTATTGAAGCATTCTTGTACATGCAAGCTTCTCAGCTTAAGCTTCTTGGCACACCAGTTTGAGGCAGAAGCAACGGTGATGGTCCCAGGAAGGGGACATGGTAGCATGAGGATGAAGTGATACCGACAACAGTAGAACAGGATTATTGACCAGATTCAGTAGGAAAAAATAGCAGAAGTTATAAATGAGATAAAGAGTTAGACAACAGACACTGGGCATATCCTCGAATAGTTTTCATCATTGCCTGGAATGCAAAAGCAGTAAATTCTTTATACACTTGACAAAACATTTATTCTTATGCTATTATACAGGGGGATCTGTACAGGAGACTATTTCCTATATCCCACTAATTTTCTTAATAGCATGAAAACTTTGCTGAGGACAAGCATTAGTCACAACTCAGTGAATCTTGTTTATTTAATAAAGACATAATCCTGAATAAAGAAATCAGTAACTGCTTCAGCATTATGATGACACTGAATAAAATTAGTGCACTATCAAAGCTGCTAGAAGTACTACTGTTGTCTTGGTGGAAAAGGACAGGCAGAAGCTGTTTAAAATTTTTTGTTCAAAAATTTCTGCTTTCAGATGATATAAATTAATTACAGTGAGGTTGCACATCTTGGTTATGGGAACTGAATCTCTTACCCTTTGATTCTCAGGCCATACATATTTGTGGGCTTATTTGAGAGTCTGGGTAAAGGTTTTGCTAATGTGACATGTCTCAAAGTTCTGAATTTTGAACTGTTTCTTCTAATTGTTTTTGTTTCATAATGGTTTCATCCACAGTCTCTTATTTATGGAAGAAATACTTCCCTACACAGCTCTGGTTACACATTTTAGAAATTGGAAATAAACTTTTGGTAGCACAAGAGATAAGAGAAAAATATTCAAAGCATTGTGTTACTTCAGAATATAATTTAAACTTTACCTTTGTGCTGTCATGAAAGCTGCAGACTGTAAAAGTGCTACTAGCCTTCAGCAGCATTGCCAGTTTAAATGATCAAGTTCCCTTTAGCTAGCAGGCCACCTGTACTAGACATCCAAGTTCAGGTTTGATACCATGTACAAGTTACCCATACCTATCAATTACTTGATGTATTCTTTTTTACAGGAAAATAGCTGTACTTATCAGTGAGACTTCATTTCAAGAAAAGTGATAGCCCCTGGCTTTGCTCACTGCTTGCATGGCTCCACATTAACATCACCTGGGTGACAGCTGAATTTTAAATTCCCACATCCTTTGAGCTGTGCTGACTGAAATAGTTGTGCATTTCAGCTCACAGCCAGAGCTCGCATTTAAAAATCTGAAAAAAAAAATTTAAAAATCATACATCAAGCATAAGAAGCATAGGATCATTTTAAACCAGCTATGCTATAAAAGGAGTATTAATACAGAATTATGCCCAGATTTTTAGCATGCTACTGTCTTGATGAACTCTCCTAACAGTTGCCATCATGGGAGGGGTTTCTGCTGATATTTCACATAGCCATCGAGAACAGAAATGGAGACAGGAGGTTCTGGAAGTATTGGCCTGTATTTTGGGGTGGGGAGGGTGATTTTTTCCTCCTTTCTGTCACACAGAAGGAAACAGGTGAGGCTCATCAGGAATTTAAAGGAAGATATATGAATGGTGTATTGGATGCATGAAATTTCTCCCTGCAAAACAGGATGATATTTTTTATTCATAGAGGGATGATGTGAGAAGTAACAGGAGTGTGTGTGAGGAGGAGGCCAAAAACACAAAAGGGAGGCTGCAGTCATGCTTGAAAACTTTTGGCAAGGGTTAATATTTAACTTTATTCCAGTGTTCCCACAGTGTTCCTGTGGTTAGAGGAAGTGCCATTGGGATGAGGAAAGCATTTAATCTTTAAAGAGATTTTGGCATCTTTTAATTGGATTTTAGTACTTGTCAGGCCTTGTTCTCTATTTGATCAATAAGGAAAGTGAGTTGCATCAAAAAAGCTGGGAAGGAACACACAGAATAATAATATATTCAGGGTTGCTAAACCAGCCAGACTTTACAAAGCAAAGTAAACCTTTCAGGAAGTTTGGGGAGGGCAGATTATTTTAAACTGGCCATTGATCCATGTTTTAGCAACACAAATTTATGAATCATGTGTAATGTGTAAATGTAATGGGTAAATATTTGTAATCAAATGGGTTTTGTTTTGCTAGTGTCGCATGGATGAGCTTTGTTCTGCTCAGGGAACTTGGATCTAGGTCATAGGATTTTGAAGAAATTATCTTCAGAAGTGCTTTAGAGTGTGTGTGGAGGGGAGAAGGGAAGGAGAAACAAATGTCTTCTGGGACAGATACCAAAACTTAGCCATTGGTCTAAGCACCCTTGTACATCAGTAGGACCCCAGAGCTGAGGCAGCCACTGCACTCCTGGGTTCCTCATCCCCGGGACCTCAGCCCCAGAGCTGTGCATGTGTGCACAAGGCAGACTGATCCATGGAGCTGAGCAGGCAGGTCATGCTTCCCAGCTCCCAGCACACTTGGATCTTGTCCTGCAAGCACCAGAGGGAGATGCTTTTACAGGCATGTTTTGTTGGACTCTCTTCCACAGAGGCGTTCCAGGGACAGAGTGTTCCAGACTCAATCCCTGTGAATGTTAGTGGCTTCTCCTGAGTTAAGTGAGGTTAATAGCTAACCAAGATGCATTATTCACTGCAGCAGCAATCTCATCACTAGCAGCAGTAAAAGGTTTTTTTTTTCCCCTCATGTTAACATTTATCTTGTGAGTTGAGAGGTTTTGAGGTTCTTTTTCTGTCTTTTCTCTGGTGTTCCCCAGCAGAATGGTTTTCAAGTGAATGTCATTTGATGAAACAAATAAGAATGAAATTAAAATTTGTTCTGAGATAAGAAGAAATTTTAGAAAGAGGTATTCTTGTAGAAGATACTCTAGCTGTATTAGAATATGTTTCCAGATATACAGTGTCTCCTTCCTTAAAATATTTTCAATAATATAACATAGAATTACAATTCAAGACAAATAATAATAGTGAACTGAGAGTTAACAAAACCTTCAGAATCTGTAACCAAAGACAGTGGCCTCATATTTATGCATTGAAAAGATATGCAACCATGTAAGTTAAGGAAATTCACTAGTGTGCTGTTCCTGAACTGCAAGATAAAATCAGGCAAAATAGTTGTTCTTTGTATCATTTATGCCTTTGATGTTAATTATCTTATCTGTGTCTCTGATGCCACATGCATTACAAAAATGTTCTCTCCTCTTGTTTTCAGGTAATGTGATTTGAAGATGCCAACCCCTTGGCAAATGTGCTGCAATAAAAAGTCCAGAACTGAGAATGCAAAAGCTGAAATGGACAATATGGCAGAGACAAGTGAAAAAATGCAGATGAAAAAAGAAATCACACTACTAAATGGAGTTTCTTTAATTGTAGGGAACATGATTGGCTCTGGCATATTTGTATCACCCCGAGGTGTTTTAATGTATAGTGCTTCCTATGGACTCTCATTGATCATCTGGGCTCTTGGTGGGATTTTTTCCCTGTTTGGAGCTTTGTGTTACGTTGAACTGGGAACATCCATCATGAAATCTGGAGGCAGTTATGCCTATATTCTGGAGGCATTTGGGGCCTTTGTGGCCTTCATCAGACTCTGGTCTTCCTTGCTAATTATCGAACCAACAACCCAGGCAGTGATAGCAATCACATTTGCTAACTATATTGTTCAGCCAATTTTCCCCCACTGTGAGCCACCGTATGACGCTGTCAGGTTGATTGCAGCTGCGTGTATATGTAAGTAGTTAAGAAGAAGTTAAGAGCTGTAATTATACGTGGTCAGAGAAGGTTTTGCTAAATTTCTATTTCTTTGCATTCTGTGAATGCAATTATTCTGTGAATGCAATTATTAGCAAAATAATTGTTATGTATCAAAAACATGTTCTTAATAACTAATAATCTTTTATTCAGATGTATTGTGTTTGGAGCTGGTATTACTAGAGGGGAGAGGAGAATTACAACAATTTGGCAGAGAGAAATTGTGACTGATGATTAAAGGTACATGTGTGTCTATGGTTCACTGGCCTAACTGGCTGATAGGACACTGTCACATGCACAGATTAATTTATGAAAATGAAGGCAAGAAGTTCTTTGAGCATGTGTGGTTGCATGCTGGTGCCCTTACTATATAGAATGATTTCTAAATTATTTTCATTTTGAGCATTACAAAACTCTTTTTCTTCCTTTCAAAACTGAAGTATAGATTACAGGCAGGTCAAGGAAACAGAAGCAAAGACCAACAAGATTTCTAGATAAGAAGTAGCCCACTTTGATCCATGCCACAGGTGACCATGCCACATTTGGTTTGCTCTCTTCTCCATCAGCTGGACTTCATACCTGGTACCAACACACACCATTACCCCTCCTCATCTATCTCTGTTTTGAATCATGAGATTTCAAGAGGGAGAAGTTGCCTGTGTTGCCATTGTGTGCTAGAGTGAGAGCAGATGGGCACATGGCTCAGCCCTGGCTGCACCTGCTGCCAGCTGAGGGACAAACCTGACTGCAGAGAATATGGCAAAAGGAGGAAAGGAAAACTGTCTGCTCCCACCCGCTCTCTGCAACCAGCTAGTTGGGTGTTTTTGTTAGATTCTGTTAAAACTGGGACTTGAGATGATTCTGTAAGTGCTATGCAATTTTCAGACTCGGGGCCAAAATGTGAGTGACACTACTTCTAAGCCATGAGCACACAGTAATAGCACACTGGCTCAGCTCAATTCAGTATCTTCTCACAGCATGCAAACTGTTTTTGTGGAGTAGTTGTCCTTATTCTGTACCAAAACTAGAGCTTAACTCAGCAAGAAGAAATTTTTGATATACAGGATATAAAGAAATACTATCATTTGCATGTAAACAGCTCTTGTTGAGTTTATTAAAACTTAATTATTTAAAAGGAGAAGGAGCTAGTCCTAAAGTTCAAAAATTGATGTGTTTTGTCTTACCTACTGTCATGAAAGCAGTATTCTTCAGAAAACCATTGTGTAAATTTTAAACCAGGTATTTCATTTTAATAAATCTGGGTGATCCTGAAGTGGGGAAATTTGATTCTCTTTTACTCCTTGAAAGAGTATTGGTATCTGGAGAGTTGGGTTTGAAATATGACTTAAGTGATGTTAAACATCCAGTGATCCTTTCATGCATATTCTTTTTCTCTGCAGGTTCCTTAACATTTATTAACTGTGTTAATGTAAAGTGGGGTACCCGTGTACAAGATGTTTTCACATATGCAAAAGTCATGGCTCTTATCTTGGTGATATCTGTTGGCCTTTACAAAATTGGCAAAGGTAAGAATAATTTTCATTTACCTAAATTCTATTAAATGAATCATATAAGAGTTTCAAAATCCATGTAGGGAGATCTTTAAGACTTATATATGAAATATTGTTTATTCTGGAAAAAACCCAATAAAGTCTGCCATAGGAAGATCAGATGTATTTTATGACTTGTTAAGCAATAGGGGGTTCATTATTCAGGACAAGTCCTGTGCTGCTTGGTCTGAATAGCAAATAGCAGCTGCATTAACATCACTTTACTGCTGACTAGTTAAAGTCAGCCTCGGTGTCTGACTCGTGCATTACTACCTGTCCTATAACAGGACAGGGAAACAGAAATTGCATTGCTCCTCAGAGTTCCCCCCACCACCATTCTCCCCCCACCTCACCCCACTGGCACCACCCCGCAGCCACAGCACCCTGCCCACAAGAGGACCAGAGAGGGTAAATCATAGCTGGGATTTGTGGGAGGGCATGTTTGTTCCTAGAAACAGAGGAGGAGACTGTAACAGTGCAGTTCAGTGAATTACTGTGGCATGGTGTTACTGTAAGGCATCACAGGGCAGATGAGCCAGCTCCCTGTCAGCAATAACTGGACTGAACACACTGCAAAGCTGAAGAGCAATTTATTCTGGTGCTTCCTCAGAGCTTTGCATATAGCAATAGATTTGATTTTATTAATATGGGCCTCTGGTGCAGTGAATTCTCCTCTAGTTCTAGCTCCGCTGCTAGAACTAGATTACTAATGTTTTTACATTTTCATTTCCTTTGAAAGTCTTAAATTGCATAGCCATTTTATCTTTCTTCCATTGAAATAAAGGTGGTTTCCCCTCTTCAGTTTAGGAATTTTCTTTTTCTCCTGCTAAATTAGCTTATAAAACCTAACAAGCATGCTTTCTTTTCCATGTTTGCTGGCCTCCTCCTTTCCCTTGCTGCAGTTGCATCAGCTGTTACACTGTAAAGCTACATTAGACTTTAGGAAAACTTTCTGGTTTAGCCATTGCCTCTGTATGTCAGTTGTCACCAGCTGGTTGAAGTCTAAAGAACCCTGTACAACCAAACCCAGCCCTAAGGGCAGAGACGTGAAGATTCAGAGAAGCAGCATTGCTTAAGGGTCACAGTTGCATGAAGGAGTAGTTCCCCTCATAAAACTGCTGCAGCTCTGCAAAAGTGTGGTTCTGTGATGTCACCTCTGTAGCAGCACTGTCCTTGCTTTCAAATTGCCTCCTTCAAAATTGCCTCCCCTCCTGCTCACTGGTGTGCTGCTGAGTCCAGGGGCTGCTCCCTCTGGTCCCACACAGTGCCCATTTTGTTTCCTCTGCTTTGCTCTGTGGGCTCAGGGAGGGCTGAAGCATAGAGGGAACTTTATGGTGAGGCACAGAAAATGCTGAGAGCTTGCAATGGTAGTAAAGGTCTCATCTCTGCTTTGTTTAAGCAGAACTGAGCACTTAAATACAGGAAAGACTGGGAGGAGGAATGATGTTGATTTCTGGAGGAAGCTGTGATCAGGTCAATGACCCTTTTAAACTCAGCAGCTGTTTTAATGAAAATAATAGTTATGATGTTTTAGCCCTGCCATATTCTTTCTGATGTGCTTGGATACACTTCTTGTATTAAAGGACTGTAAATATATCTGATTTTGAATATGAGCTGTCATTACCAAAAAAACCCCCAAAACAACAACAACAACAACAATCCCAAACAAACAAACAAACAAAAACCACCAAAACACTTTTCTTGAACATTTTGGATTTTTTTCTTTTCTTTATTTTCCAGCCATTTTCTTCTCCAAAGTATGTGTACATCTCATAGCTTCTTTTCTTTGGTTCAGTCTCCTGTTCTTCAATGACTGAATTGCTTTTGTAGTATCTATAAACTCCCGAGTTGAATCAGTGCTTTCATTTTACAAAAAAAAGACATGACTTTCTTTCCTAACTGAGGTTTCAGCATGTTTCTGTCTTCTCTTAATACTTAACCCACTTCCATTTTCATTAGATAGTAGACTTTCCTTCTGCAATCTCATTAAGGCCTTTCTTCCCCTTTCCAGCACAGCAGTGAAGGTTTATGCAGTTTCACTAACATTTGGCCTATTTTGCAGCATTCTGCAGGTTGTCATCTCAACCGATGGGGCTTAGCTAAAGCAGAATTTTGAAAGGAAAGATTTTTAATCTCATCTTTAAGTTTTGGAAACACCCTTGTGGGTCAGAGCATCCCACTGAAAACTGTGAAGGAGATCCCACTCTAGTGGCCACGAATTCATCTGGTGAAAATAAAAGCACAGCTGTCAGGAAGAAATACGAGACAGATTCAGGAACTGAAACTGAACTGGGTTTGCCAAGTGCCTCATCCTGGCTGGCAGGGTACTTCGTGCCCTTGGTATGGCTCCCTCCTTCGGTAGGGTCAGCAGTAATGTCAGGAGAGGACTCTGAATTCTGGTAGAATTGCAAAAGTCACATCCAAACAACAAACATGAAAATGTTCTGTCTTCTCCCTGTGCAAGAGTAGCTGTGGGAACATCTGGCTGAAACTCTCTTGTTTGTTAATTAAAAATGTAAGTTGTGTAGTTTTAGATACAGTAATGAAACCTGGGTGCAGTGGGATGTTATTTCCCTTTTGCTAGCTGACACTTCAGGTGTAATGCCCTTCTGAGTTGCAATCCTTGAAATGTAACAGTCACTTGGCACCTGCCATTTGTACAGGGGAAACTGAAAACCTGAGAGCTCCGTTTGAGGGCTCCACAACAAACCCAGGGATGATCGCCCTGGCTCTCTACTCTGCCCTCTTCTCCTACTCAGGATGGGACACGCTCAACTATGTCACCGAGGAAATGCAGAATCCTGAGAGGTAAACACAGGCTTTTCCTTTGAACCCACTGACAGGTGATGGCAGGACAAGCCACTCTGTATTTGTTTCTGATTAGTCAAATTATTTTCTCTTCTCTTCTCTTCTCTTCAAATGAAGGAGTAAGTAGGAGAACTCTTTCTGATCATTGTGCTCATTGATATCACACTAATGAATAATTTACCTGTATATGTGTATTTTACATCTTACACTTCAGACTGCAATTTTTAAAGAAGAAGAAATCCCTACTGAAAGCAAGGAAAAGCAAAGGTGCATCTAGCCCTCTAAAATTCCCTGCTTCTTTTCAGTTAGGCAGAATTATTTTTCCAAGACATTTTTTGCCACCAGTAGAGTAAGACTGTGTCAGATTTATGGCTTTTATGATGTAGGTATTACTGTTTATGGGCAAATACAATCTCTTCCCCTCTGTAGGGATGTCAGCCCTGTGGGAGTTGGCTTGAGTCATCCACTCAAGCTGAATAGTTGATCTTGTCTTGGGACATGCATAGGTTATGAGTCAGGAAAAAAATGCCACAATCAGGAAAATACCTAAGTCTGCACTTAAATATCATTGTTTCAGAGCTCTCTTAGACTGCTGCATATAACAGACAGTGTATTAAATTTACATGTATGGATGTTTTAAGGTTTTTTTTTTAAACTTGTGACAGACACACAAACAACAAACTAAGCTTTTTATGGAATAGTTTCATGCATGGCTGCCATGACTCCCATGACTCCCAAATGATGGATTACAAGACATAATGGAGGTAGAAACATTCACAAATGCTTGAATCTGGGAACAATCTTCTATTTAAGTACTTCTCATTTAAATAACATGGAATAATTTTTCCATTTTCCTTTTGCAGGAACCTACCTCTTTCTATTGCAATTTCAATGCCTATTGTAGCTATCATTTACTTATTGACTAATATAGCATACTATGTAGTGTTGGACATGTCAGCTCTCCTCACAAGCGATGCAGTGGCTGTGGTAAGTTGTGGAACATAACCCAAACAAAAGACACAAAATTTCAGGTAGCATGCTTGGCAAACAGCTGAAATACTGTCATGCTGAAGGCTGCTTAAAACATTTTTTTTCATGTTACAGTACCAGTATATTAGAAAGTGCATATCAAGAATATATCCACTAAAAATGCTCTTGAAAAATTGTCTTGTATACTCTTTAAATCCTGCTCTTAACACTACATCATAGGAAAGATGTTTTTGCCAGGAGCAGGACCAAGGGGCTATAGAAAGTCTGGGTGGTTAGAGAACCAGGTTTTTTTGTTATCATTCTAATGTACAGTATGTAATGTTTAACACTGCACAACCACAACAATATTTTCAGTGCAGAAGTGTGCACTGAAATGTTTTTTAAAACCTTATCAATATTTTATACAGAAATAAAATGATAATTCATAGACTACTACAGTTGGGATTTGTCAGAATACTAGGCTTAGGGGGTTTTTAAAAATATGTTTTAATGTATCTGCCAATTTTATTTTGATGCTGATCAGCTTTTCCAAATTCTAATTTCCTAAGTCATTACTGGGTATCATCAAAAAGCATGGGCTATGATACTACATTTGGGATAATGTGTTTTCATGAGAGTTTCTCAGAATTCTCCATATGCCTAACATAGTGGGCCTCACCATTATTTTTTTTTCTGTTACAGACATTTGGAGGTGAAACCCTTAGTCATGCCAAGTGGATAATTCCTATAGCAGTGGCCATGTCTTGTTATAGTGGCTTAAACTCATCAATTATTGCAGCATCTCGGTATGAAATAGAAGATTTATTTGAAATAATTGAAAAGGAATCATTAATCCGCATTCTTTACTACTGTTTGGTAATTTTTGCCATGCCAAGTTGTGCATTTATGATGGAGGTACTGTTACAATCTGATGTCTTCTCATGATAGCACCATTTAATAAACTAAAGCCACTTGAGAAGAGAGCAGCACTTACAACAGAATAATAAAATAATTATTTCTTTGCTTTATCAGGAAACAAAAAGCTATTCCTATGGTTGAGTTTCCTTAGTCTTTTTTAGGCTTTTCTATGTTGGAGCCAGGGAAGGACACCTCCCTGTCAGTCTGAGCTTGATTCACGTGAAGTGCTTCACACCAGTCCCTGCTCTCCTGTTCAACGTAAGTAACGCTCCAGCCTCGTGCCTGGCTGGGCAGCTGGGGTTTGGGCCTCGGGTGAAACATCCCTGCTCTGCCCTGGACTTCTCACAGACTTCTCCTGCCCTGGAGACATCTTCTACATATGCCCACAACTTCTAGAATTCACTGAGGGGGTGGGAGTGGTGTTATTTTTTCTGATAGAGGGGTTTTTTCCAGTGGAAAGAGAATGGCTTGATTCATTCATATGCTCTCCAAACAATATTAAGGAGAAGTACAACAGCATTACTGAGAAAACAGAGAATGGCTAAAGATGTAATGGTATAGACGAGAGCTTTTAAGTCTTTAATGTGAGGTGTTAAAGTGTCACTGGAGGAGAATATGTCAGGGACATCTCTTTGACCCTGCCATAGGCTGATGTTCTACAACTGTAGTTATAACAGGAGTGACAAAGGTCTTAAAATTAAATTTCTACCATTGGAAGCCTATAGCCCTGTTGACTTTTTTTCTGCTGTCACTATACAAATGAGATCTTGTGACACAAAACTGTGGAACCATAAATTATGGAATTACTGGAAATTATTTTCATAAATAATCCACGTATTTGCATGCATTTTATTTGGTGTCTGCCATTGCCCTGTGTTACATATAATTTATGAATAGATTATCATACTCATCCTGTTTGACATCAAATAATTTACTAAAAATTATAATCTCATTATGAAGACTCTTCTCATAGGGGCTCTGTTTGCACTAGCAAGTTGATTTATACTCTCTTAATATACCACCATTCACATTTTTCATATGGAAAGTGGAAGTTTTTTCTGCTCATCTGTTAAAATAGATATTGAAACCCTAGGGCACAGAATTTACTCTAATGGTCTCAATTTATGATTGGACTGATATCCTAATACAAATAGGTTTGAAACAGGACAGTTTATAATTTTACTCTGTCTTTATTTTCACATTAAAAAGTCTTTGTTTTTTATTATCTCCAGGGCTTAATGACTTTGCTTTATCTCCTTGTGGAAGATGTTTTCCTCCTCATTAATTACTACTGCTTCAACTACTGGCTCTTTGTGGGTCTGTCTATTGCAGGACTAATATATCTGAGATATACTCAGCCACATAGACCACGGCCTGTTAAAGTAAGTAAAAAAGACAGGAAGAAAGCTCTAAAAACCAGCTAATGCATGTGTTTGTATGACCTTTAATATCACAACCATAACGGTACCAGTTAATATTATAGATTACTTATTAGCCATAGAAATTCTTTCAAAATACAAGATGAAGGAGCAAAGCCCATTAGAGTCCACAAGAACATCTGTTCTGGTAGCTCTGCTGTGAGATAGAAATTATATACACCATTTATTCTTCTTTCCTTCAGACTTATAATAATTTTTGTTTCAAAACAAATAAGGAATAAATATATGTCTGGGGTTTTTAGCCCATCCTGGAAGAATAGCAGAGCTGGTGATGGAGGCTCCAGAGAGGTTAACACTCTGATAAAACCTATATGATTTAACAGACACAGTAAAATCCCTCCAAAGCCCATAAATGTCCACAATTCTGCACACACAGAAGTTAAGTTAGCTTAAAAAATCAAATATATTTTGAATGTTCCCCCCCACTGAGTAGTGGTCATAGACAGTAAAATGCAAGTTTAATGGTTGACTTAGAAGAGCATTTGACTATCAGTTAGACAGGGGAGACTGCACAGAAACAAAGTGTGCCTAAAACCTGTTTCTAGTTTTAATCCAGCGATTGTCCAGGAAGCAAGGATGGAAACACACAGCAGGCACACAAAACCATGCACTGACTCCTGTTTGTTGGCTCCGTGACCTGCATTTTGGGTCTGCAGTGATGCAGTAAAAATCAAGAGAATTACAAATTAACACCCCCCAAATATTTCTTCTTTGTCAATCTCTCTTCCTAAACTCCTGCATCATTTTTACAAACACATTTCTTTCCATTTAAGTGTCACATCCTGATTAATTTTTAAAAAGTTCAAACAAAGGCATAAAATATTCTAAGCACCTCCTGCTAGAATCCTTCCCAATTCTCCATAGCAGACCAAATTTTCCTGAAACATGTTCACACTCAGTTTCCAGACTTTCCCACAAAATATGTGGAAGATAAAGATTAAATCTTGCCTTATTGGCAGTTTTGCCTCTGATTCTACTAAGGATTACAGTCAGATTTTGCACAAAGAATGTTTCATTCCTGTCAGCATTTGCCAGTCAACACCACAACTCCACATACACCATTTCCTTTTCTGAAACGTAGCAGATGGTTTTCATCAGCTTACATTTTTTACATTTATAAGCAAAAGAAAAGTATTTATACCAGTAAACTCTCACCAATTTTAGCTGGTATTCATATGTCAACTCCTGGACCCTTGAGAAGGCTCACTACTAGAGGCAGAAAAAAAATTAGTGAAAAATAAATTCATTAAGAGGGTTTTGAAACTTTCATAGAATCATAGAATCATAAAATGTCAAGGTTTGCAAGGGACCTTAAAGATCACTTAGTCCTAACCATCCCTGCCACAGGCAGGCACAATTTCCACCAGACCAGGTTGCTCAAGGATTTATCCAACCTAGCCTTGAATTACTGCCAGAGTTGGGGCATCCACCACCTCCCTGGATAACCTGTTCCAGTGTCTCACCACTTTCACAGTAAAGAATTTCTTCCTAATACCTAACCTAAATTTCTCCTCTTTCAGTTTGTACCCATTATTCCTTATCCTATCACTACAGTTCCTGATGAAGAATCCCTCTCCACCTTCTCTGTAGTCCCCCTTCAGACACTGGAAGGTTGCTATGAGGTGTCCATGCAAAATTTTCTTCTCTTGGCTGAACAGCCCCAACTTTCTCAGCCTGCTGTCATAGGGAAGGTGCTCCAGTCTTCTTATCAGCTTCATGACCCAGCTTTCCTTATTTGTGATATGTTATTTGTTAAGTGCCCACACAAAATGGTTGTAAACCAGTCCATTAGTTCTACAACATCAAGATGGCAATTGAAGGTTGAGAGATAGTTCCCAACCAAAACTACATGTAACAGTTCAGAACTGAAGTTGGAGAGAAAGCTACCTATTACTTAAAGCACCTCTTTCAAAGGCTGAACTTTTACTAATTGTAAAGGAACTGAGTTTATGCAGGTGTGAAAAAAACAAAATAGATGCTCAGATGTGTACCAAATAAGAGGCTCTCAGCAGTGTACACAGAAGTTAATAAATTATGCTGACTGTAAGCAGACAAAAAGATTCAGTACCTATTTTTACTGTTGACCTGTCTAAGTTTAATCTGCAAAGCCTGACTTTTTCCAATAGAGTGTTTGTTGCATCTTTTAACAAATGCTGTATTTTTTTTTTTTGTCTTCACAGCTTAGCCTCTTCTTCCCTATAGTATATTGTTTGTGCTCACTATTCCTGATTATAGTGCCTCTCTACAGTGACACAATCAATTCCCTTATTGGTGTTGGTATTGCCCTCTCAGGCATTCCCGCATATTATTTGGGAGTCTATCTGCCAGTTGAAAAACGACCTAAATGTCTACTTTGGCTCTCTGGTAAGCAACACTGTGTCCCAGTAACCATGTCAAAATCTTGATCAGAAGAAGGAAAGAATAATTTTCCCTAAAATCCTTATTTCTATGAAGTTTTGCTATGCTTTGGTATGTGGCATGTCTGAGATCATCTGCTTTATCACATGGTCCTGAGAACAAAACCATGCTTACCTGTACAAAACAGTCCAATATGTAGGACTAGTCATAACTATGACTCAATATAGTCATAACTATGCTGGCCCAACAAAAGCCATGTAGGCTTGTAAATACTAAACCTAATCTTTTTAATACCCTGGAAGGCAGAAATACCAGAACATCTTTGCTTCACTTTCCATCCAAGGAAAGAAACAATCCAAATCAGAGGAGTGCACAGATTTTCAGAAACAATGAAATAATTAATTATTGGCTTGGAGGGTAGTTGCCAGTCCTCAAATTCAGGTGGTCTTGAAAAGCAAATCTTTAATATTTTTATTTATTATACTTTGAATTCAGCTATCAATTCAATGAAAGTGTTGATGAAAATCTGATTATACAAGAATTTCAGTTTAATTATTGGATTCTTTTGCCTTTAGCTATTTATAACATATGCTTAATTGTACTGATTAAGGTGTTTCAAGATTTTCCTAATATCTATGTAGTGTTTTCAAATCCTCAAAATCCGGATTTATGTCTAAGATATATTTAAATTTCTGTCACACATTTTTGCCAGTACAGCTACAACAACGAAGTACGTTCAGATGCTCTTCTACTGTGCTCTGTCAGACCTGGACATAGACGTGGAACCCACAACAGCTAAGAGTAAATAGAATTGCCTCAACATTGAGAATTGTGCCTTGACATCTCCTGTCTGGAACAATTTTTATCATCTGAAGTTCTCCTCATATGTGCAGTCATACTGGAGCACTAACCCCTGTACTGTGCATCAGTTTGATGTCAGTTAAGTTGTGATGGTTTTATAAAACACTCTGTTTTCCAGGATTTCCTTTTAAAATTCTGTTTGTTAATAGTGAGTTATCATGTAACATGCTGAAACTATAAAGCACTTGGTTGGAAAGGATGAAAGTTTGACAAGAAAGTTTCACAGATATGTATGCTTGGCAGAAAGCTCTTTGAATGTAGAACCTGAGAACGAAATAGAGATGGAAGCAAGTTTTGATATAGAACAACAATAGATGTCTAAATTTACAATTGCTGAGCCAGTAGTTACTGGACAACTAAGAAAGCAAAGGTTAAGTCAAGTTGGAAAGGTGTTGTATGACTAGAGCAAAGGACATGTTGACCACAAACAAAAAGATGCTTTTACCAAGCAGAAACAGGTCTTGGGAAAAGGAGAAAGATACCACAGGTGAACAAGCATGCCAATGTGGCAAGTAGAAAAAAGGTCTAAGAATTTTCTGCTGCAAGAAAACTGAAATACTTTAAGCTTAAACTGTAACATACTAACTGATGTGATTGGATAGTATTGACCATAATATGGTAATGATAGTAGTTATCATAGGCTATAGGTAATAGTAAAGGTTATGTATTAAATTGCTCAGCAAAGAAAAATATATAATGCATTGTAACCAAAACTAAAGGGTCTTCAGGCTTGTCTATAGCTGGAGCTGACAGCTGTAGGCATGGCTCTGTCACCCACAACCCAAGACTGCTTTAAAATCTCATATACAAATAAACAGCATTTTGAAGAGCCATCTGGAGTCCTGCATCTCTGTCGTGGGGTGACAGCCTTTATCCCAACTTGTCTCAGGCTCTTACTAATGGCGCCCACAGTTTAGTAGGAAAACTCGGACTTTTAGCAGTAAGAGACCTCCTGGTGAACTCAGAAGGAAGCGCCTGCAAGGACGAACAGACTCCTGAAAGGGAGGTGACCAGGGCCCAGACAGCTGTTGCTGCTGGACAGTACCTGGATCCAAGCCTCAACATACAGCACCTGCTGCAAGGACAGCAGGTGAGCACCGGGGAATCAACAGGGCAGAATATGTCTGCCAATCAGAGAGATGTGCATCAGCATTGGAAATCTTTAATTAAATCCAGTCCAAGTAAATTACCAAAACAAGAGCTTAAAAATCTTCTACCATGGACTGAGACCAACTTCCCAAATGCCAATTCTGCAGCTGTCTTTAACAGAGACTTTTGGGACTCCATGGGGGCCAAATTATATAATGCTATTTCTTGCCTCAACAAAACAGCAGCAGATTTACTCCCTGCTTGCCGTGTGCTTGTAGAAATCTTTGCTGGGAAACCCCCGCTGCAGTGCCCTTTCCCCACCATTCCACCTGAACCCTCCCACAACTTCCCTCCATGCCGCCTCTCCAGCCGCGAAAGCGGGAAGGAGGAAGAGGAAGAAAACAGCAACTGCAGCTGCAGTAAGAGAGGTAGACCAAACTAAAAGTTACTCTGCCTTGGAGGATGAGGGGCATACCTTAAATCCAACATCAATAAACCCCGAAAAAACAACCAGATTTGTTTCTAAATAATCCCAGGGATTTCCCCGTGACTGGAGGAGATCTTTTAACTAGGTTGCCATGGCCAGCAAGAAGCACTGAGGGACCCAACAAATCATCCCCCAGATCTCTTATGCCTGAAGCTTGCAAGGCTTTAGAGAAAATCACCAATGCTCTGCAAAATAGACAAGCAGATTGCTGTGTTCCAGATAAACCTTTTTTCCTTGCAGTTTTAGGAGAAATGCTGAGACTGTATGGCTTCATCTTTTAATGGCTCCTCTCAAAATGATCCTTTGTTGATAATTGAATGGGTTTTTCTTTTTTACAGGTCACCAAAGACAATCTTTACATCTTTAGAGATGATTTCTCAAATCATCATCAAAGGCAGACCAAGGCTTCTTTCTATAGCAGGTTGCGTATTTGAAGTCATCTATTTACCTATAATTAAATCCTATTTTGATTGGGCATGCAAAAGTCAGAAGATATGCTATATGCCTTGTTAGATTATCCAGCACACAAATTGATCAAAGCTAAATTATGCTACAAAGAGAAATCCCTGTCAGTGAAGAATCTTTAGATGCAGTTACTCTCTTCACTGATGGGTCAGAACAAACACACAAAGCAGTAATTACATGGCAAAATAAAACCACTAAATCCTGGGAACAAGATGTTCAAAAAGTCGAAGTTTCTCCTCAGAGTTTTGTATTGGCAGCAATGGTAAAGAGCATTTCCACTCTTTCCAGAACCTTTTAACCTAGTTATGTTACTCCTTATCACCCAGTTTATAGAAATATGACTTCTTGGTGGTGTCAAACTAAGCTTCTCACATATCATGAATGTCACACAGATCATTTTAACAGGCATCCAATTCGATTTCCTAAAGGAATTTGGCTCATCTGTGGAGACAGGGCTTGGCAAGGTATTCCTTCAAAACTAGACAGTGGCCTTTGTGCCCTGGGAGAACTTATGTTAATTGCTCCCAGTGTCAAAAAAGCAATCAAAAAGAACAATAGAAAAATAAGGTCTTCCTTGGGGCATCATTATGAGGGCAACTGCGATAGTGATTTTCACCCTTGGAACTCTGGAAAATCAATTGTTATAAGTATTTTTTTGCCTCAGCTTTCCTCAATTGAAACAGTTAAACTGAAAGTGTTAAAACAAATTAGGGTGTTGACTCAGTAAACAAGTAAATGCCACCTCTGCTATGATTAGTGATTTGCTGACAGATGAAGAGGCAGTCAGACATGCCACTTTACAAAACAGAGCTGCTATTGACTTTCTTTTACTACCACATGGACATTGCTGTGAAGATTTTGAAGGGTTGTGTTATATGAACTTGTCTGATCATTCTACTTCTATTCATAAGCAGCTGCAAAACTTAACAGATTTAGCTAACCAAATTACAACAGATGAAATATCTTGGCTAGACAGTTTGTTTGATGGTTGGAGAATTGCACCTTGGCTGAAAGAACTTTTAAAGTAGGCTTGATTCTTTTAGTGGTGATAATTGTAATTATGGTAGTGGTACCCTGTGCACTTCAATGTGCGCAGAGAATGATGAATAAGATAGTTTCTAGCATCTTTGTTGTTCATCAGAACGGGGGAGATGTTGGGAAGGATCAAGTCTGACAAGTTTCACAGATATGTATGCTTGGCAGAAAGGTCTCTGAATGTAGAATCTGAGAACGAAATAGAGCCAGAAGCAAGTTTTGATATAGAAGAATAATAGATGTGTAAATTGAGGTTTGCTGAGCCAGTCTTGACAACTAAGAAAGCAAAGATTATGTCGAGCTTGAAAGAGATTTTATGACTTAGAGCAAAGGATATCCTGGCCAGAAACAAAAGGATGTTTTTACCAAGCAGAAAGATACCACAGCAAAGAAGACATGTCAATGTGGTCAGGAGAAAAAAAGTCTAAGCATTTTCCACTGCAAGAAAAACTGAAAAACAACTTTAAGCTTAAACTGTAACATACTAACTGATGTGATTGGATAATATTAACCATAATATGGTAGTGTTATGATAGTAGTTATGATAGGCTATAGGTAATAGTAAAGGTATAGATTGGTTCTTATGTATTAAGATGCTCAGCAAAGTATATAATGCATTGTTACCAAACCTACAGGGCGTTCAGGCTTGTCTACAGATGGAGCTGACAGCTGCAGGCTCAGGCTCTGTCACCCATGACCCTGGACTGTTGTAACATCTTGGATACAATAAATTGCATTTTGAAGAGCCTCCCCTCCCACATCTCTCATCTCAGCCTCTTACTAGCCACACCTATGGTAGGAGGGAGGGAGGGAGGAATGGCAAAAAGAATTTACACTGGAAGAAAACCTGCTTGGTGATGTTTGAGAACATTCTACCTACATGCAGAGGGGGGGAAAAAACAAAAAGGCAAAGAGCATGTACTGGTTTAAAACTAATCAATCTTCCTCTATGTAGAAGTGCAAAGAGTAATTTAGAAACAGAAGAAAGACAAATTTGATAGCAATGGTCATAAGTTAAAGGACAAGCTGCTGAACCAGATGTCTGATTTGTGAAAGAATTTCAGAACTATTGCAATGCACAGTGTGTATTCAGGTCAAAATACAGTCTTCATAGTGATATTACCTTATTTCTGATTAGACCTTCCTCTTGCCCATATTGTGCCATCATATGAGGAATCCTGCAAATTACATGCATCTTTCTCTTGCTATCTTAGGACTGAGGTCTTGTCTATCTCTGAGACTGGGTGATAATGGAAGAAGAATGTAAATTGCCAGTGGAGTCACATTTGACTCCACAAGAGGGAGAACTCCTCTTCCTGATGCTCTCGCGAAAACTAGCCTGCTGTTTTCAGATCTTCTGCTTGGAGCAGTAGAACCAGAGCACTGTGTCTATTCCTGCCCCCCACAAAAGTCCTGAGATGTACAGGCTTAACTCCACTGTAAAGTGGCAGCTACATATTCTGAATAATATATATGTACAACAACCTGCTGCAAGTCCAATGAAGATGAGGTTAAAGTTCAAACATTCCTCTTTCTTTATAGGATTGCCTTGGTGTCTGCAGCAGCAGACAGATTTTTTTCATTCTAGCTGTTTCCAATATGTAATGGCATGAATGAAAAGGATCGAGGACATCCTTTTCATAATTTCCACATTAAGCATAAATAATAAATGAGCTAATCATAGCTAATAGATAATAAATTAGCTGTTTTATGGAAATGGAAAAAATTGTTCTGCTTGAATGTCTGAGTAGTTTTCCATCCTTATACTCCCACTTTTTCTTCTCTATCTTTTTGTCAGATAAAACTTGTGAAATATTCAAGCCTCTCTGCTATTTGGTAGTGGAGAAATATTTATAAAGGCACTCTTTGGAAAATACAATGTTAATATCAGATGCCTGTTGACCTCCTGCCAATATGGTGTCAGTACATGGGCAGCTATGGACTTTGTCCTATAGTTGCGATTTTTCCATATCACTCTGTTGAATTCACTTCCACTTTAACTGCCTTCTAGAGCAATCCCCTAGCTCAGCTCACTTAGCCATCCTTGCCTTCCATCTCAGCTTATGATATCCATCTGCTGCCAGTAATTCTCTCGATACATGAAGGTACTCTTAATCAGCTCCTCCTAGTAATATCTGCAAGTAAACAATAGGCACAAAGTGGGCAAGATATCTGTAAGAAGTAGGCAGCAAAAGGTAGCAAAAGGGGAAGGGTAGGCAGATTTCATATTCTTTTCTTCATTTTGCTTACTTTACTCTCAGGCAGATTACCTTATTAGTTGTACTGCTTGCTACAAATCCAGATGGTAAAGAGATGGAAAGACTGTGGGGATGCTTCCCAGTTTTGTATGGATGAGGTCAGGAAGGCCAAGATGCAGATGAAGCTGAACTTAGCAAGGGATGCAAAGAGAAATAAAAGGGTTGCTGCAGGTGTGTCTGCCAGAAAAGGAAGCTCAAAGAAAGCCCTATCCTGGAAACATTCAAGAGCAGCTTGCATGGGACTCTGAGCAACCTGATCCGGTTGAAGATATCCCTGACCATGGCAGAGTGGTAGGACTCTTAAAAGGTCCTATTCAACCCAAATTATTTTATGATTCTATGAGTCTGAGTCTATGATTCTTCATTATGGCTAAATTGCTGAGTAGAGCAGAGGGCGCACAGAGCTCCCGCACTGTAATTTTTTTTGTCCTGTTGATATCCATGGGAATAAAACATTGTTTCAGGTTAGAGAAAGGATGGGGACTGACAGCTCAGCC